TTTTTGTTGTAACAAATGTATGTTGAATTTTATAGATTTTTAAATACATAGCTTTTCCTTTTATAAAAATGGTGAATAACACTGATTTTCAAGTATTAAATCAACCTCCAGTTCCTAAAATAAACCCAACCTGTTTTTCACACATTATCTCTTTGTATATTGCTGATTTCAGTTTGCTTTCATTTAGAAATTTTCTACCTATGTTCATCATCGACTTAGCCTATAGTTTTCTTTCTTTCTTCTAATATTATTGTCAGATTTGGCATCAAGATTATGCTGGCCTTATAAAGCAAGTTTGGAAATGTTTATTCCTTTTGTCCCTGGAAAAGCTTACATAATTCTTTTTTTTTTTTCCCCTTAAATATTGGAAGAATTCACCGATCTAGGCGTGAAGTATTTTGGATTTTGGGGGGAGCAGGGTTGGGGGAATAGGGTTTAAATTTCAGATTCAGTTTTGTTTCAGATACAGCACCATTTAAATATCTATTTCTTTTTGTGTCCATTTCGACAAGTTGTGTTTTCCTAGGAACTTATACATTTTATATACGTTTTCAAATGTTTTGACACAAAGTTGTCCACAGTATTTACTTATTACCTGTTAGGTTTCTGCTTGGTCTATAGCAGGCATCCCCAAACTTTTTACACAGGGGGCCAGTTCACTGTCCCTCAGACCGTTGGAGGGCCGCCACATACTGTGCTCCTCTCACTGACCACCAATGAAAGAGGTGCTCCTTCCTGAAGTGCAGCGGGGGGCCGGATAAGTGACCTCAGGGGGCCGTGTGCAGCCCGTGGGCCGTAGTTTGGGGATACCTGGTCTACAGTGACGGATGCTGTTCACTCCTCACATTGCTGTTTGTCTTTCATCAGTCTTGCTAGAATATTATGTTTCTTTTAATGAACCAACTTTTGTTTTCCTGATACTCTGAGCTATCATATTTTTTCAAGCTATTCATTTTCCTTCTTACATTTTGATACATTGATTTTTGTCAGCCTTTCTCTTTACTTATAAAAGCTTTTAATATATTTCTCTAAATTTGTGATTAGTTTCATCTCACACATTTTTTACTATAATTCAGTTTAAAATGTTTTATTTCCATTGTGATTTCTTCTTTGATCGACAGAATATTTAGAAGTGCATTGCTTAATTTAAAAATATGTGGAGATTTTTCCATTTATCTTTTTGTTACAGAGTTCCAGTTTAATTTCACTGTTATCTGTGATCATACTCCATGTGACTTTAAACCTTTGAAATGTTTTGGAAATTGCCTTACAGGCTACTATAGGGCCTGTTTGGGTAAATGTTCCATATGCACTCGAAACAAATGTAAATTCTGCAGCTGTTGGGGGCAGTGTTCTATATATATATCTCAGCTAGGTCGATTTCATTCATGACACTGTTCAAATCGTCTCTATTTCTATTGATTTTTTTTAATCTTCTTGTTCTATCAGATACTGAGAGATGTATTAAAAACCACTCAAACAGGATTATAAATGTTACTCCTTTTAATTCTGTGCATTTAAAAAATATATTTGAAGCTATATTATTAGGTGTATACAGATTTAAATTTTTTATATTTTCCTAGTGGATTAATCTTTTTCATTATTTATTTATTTATTTATTTTTTGAGAGGGAGCTTTGCTCTTGTTGCCCAGGCCGAAGTGCAATGGCACAGACTTGGCTCACTGCAACCTCTGCTTCCCAGATTCAAGGAATTCTCCTGCCTCAGCCTCCCAAGTAGCTGGCATTACAGGCATCTGCCACCGCGCCTGGCTAATTTTTGTATTTTTAGTAGAGACAAGGCTTCACCTTGTAGGCCAGGCTGGTCTCGAACTCGACTTCAGGTGATCCACCCACCTCAGCCTCCCAAAGTGCTGGGATTGCAGGTGTGAACCACCACACCTAGCCTCTTTGATTAGTATTAAACATTCCTCTTACTATCCACTAGTTCTCCTTTCTTTTGTCTGATAGTGATATGATACCAGCATTTTTTTGGGAGGAGTAGAGTTTGCATGTTATGCATTCCTCCATCTTTTTACTTTCAATTTTTTTTTTTCCATGCTGTTTATAGTGTACCTCTTGTAAGCACCATGTAATTGAGATTTTTAAAAATCCAGCCCGGCACTCTTTTACACTTGGTGTAATTACTGATAAATGTGAACTCAAATCTACCTACTCATCCTCTTGAGTTTGCGATTCGTTTGCCTGTTCTGCTTCCTTTTCTTCTTTTATTTTGGATCAAATATTCTGTGCCATTGCATTCTCCCGTCTCTTAGTGTATGAAACTGCAGGTGGGACTAGAACCAGGGGAGGGCACACAGAATCTTGACTGCTCTTCAGAAATACGCGGGACTCTGGTAAAACGAAGATTTCTGCTTCTCACTCCAGAAGTACTGAATCAAAAGTGGAGCAGGAAACAGGCAAGATGCATTTTTTTTTTTAAAGCTCCATAGGTTATTCTGACAGCCAGCCAGTTGAACCATCAATCTAGACTCTATGACCTCCTATACCTCTGAAAGGTAAATACAGAAAATGAGGCTGAGAAAACTCCTTTAGAATCAATCCCTTTTCTTAGCACTTCAGTGGGGGCAGATGCCGTGCTCTGGTTCGACTCCAGCCCCCAGGCTGGCTGGCTGGTTCCACTCTGCATAGCCCAGAGGCTCACCCCAGTCAGGCTGGGGGCTCCCCATGTCAGCCAGGCTCCTCTTGTCTGCTGTCTGGCACCGCCGAGGCAGCAGCTCGAATATCCCAGCCTGGCTTCCTTCTCCTCACTGCTTCCCTGATTCCTGGCATGGCCTTACCGAAGGAATGGCAAATCTTTATTTCCACTACACAGGGAGACCTGTTAGTATCCCTAAGAAGCCAAGTAATGTGTGTGCTGCATTTGCTGGCACCATGTACACTGGACTTTTTGTTTTTATCATAAATTATTACTGTTACAATACTGATGGCACTGTGGATTATATTCTTATACAGTCATCTGGAAGAATCCCGAGCCCTTGTTTCCTGCAGAAAGAGTGATTTCCTTTCAAATTAACCACAAAATCCCTAAATGGTGTTAGAAAAATGCGTATCTACTTCTTGTGAGGTGGTTTAGTGCTTCCAGCTCTATCAGAAATAGTTAAAATTGGTCTATCAATTTTATCTTCAACATTCAAATGAGAAAAAAAAAAACTTGAGATAGAGCAGTAAACAAAAACTTTTCTACCTTAAGCCAGAAGATATTTGGTACAGAGAGAAACACCAAGTAAGTGAAGAAGAAAATATACCATTAATTGAAAATATAAAAAATGGTATCTTAGTGTGACCTTTTCCACCAAAACAATATTAACAATAAATCAACAGCTATGCCCTAAAGTGGGTGCAGGCATTTGGATTTATAATATATTATACATATAATGCATATGTTGTCCTCATAAAAGCAAATGTTATGCAGAGAAAATCTGACCTTATTTTTCTGTTCTAACAATATCTCAAAGAGATTTTGTTGCGGAAAAAACTCTGTAGGATCTTTTGTTTATTTCTGTTTAGCCTTAAGGTTTTAAATGTGTATTTTTATTTAAAAAATCATAATGAAGCAGTCTTTTCTGTGCAGAGCACCCTTCCTGCTCCAAGGGGCCCTTCAGCTGCACTTGTGGGGCTGATTTTCCAGCCCCTACAAGCCAACCTCCCATGTGGCTTGCTAATACAAGCCCTGAACATATAGGATGAAGATACAAAATCTGACCATCATTAGAGACTGTGGCAGGGGTGGGGGCAGATGCATATTCTACTCAGGGTCTTCCTTGGGAAGGCCTGGCCTCTCCTCAGTCAGCAGCCACCTGAGATGTCTCCCAGCTCAGCCTTGCACACTGTGCCCCGGAGACGTGTCCCTGTAGAGACAAGACCACAAGGGAGGCAAGGACGTGTGCAGGTCTCCCGCAGTGCTCCCTTCCTGAGGGTGAGGACAAGGTGTCTACTGACATGCCCGTCCCATCCCTCCTCCCAGGGAGCTGGCACTGACCCTAGCACCTGGCCCTGAATATTTTTCATGGGTATATTTTGGCCTTCTGTGTTGTGTTGTTTCACTGTGACGCAGGCTGACTGGGTTGGCAGCGAGAGAAAATCATGTAGCATCCTCTGTTTCCAAGATTCCCCCCAGGTCAGGCAGTGCACAAGCATGCCCTGCCGAGAGGCTCAGGCCTGCTGGGTGGCATGGCTCAGCAAGCAGCCTGGCCTGGCCTGATCCCATTCTGCCGGGGAGGCCCCCAGGTAGCTATGCTGGCCTGAAGGAAGGGCTCAGAGAAGCAGCACGGAAGCTTCCCTCCTAGAGAGGAAAAAAGGGAGAGACCAGCAAAGGGCAGGAAGGAAGAGGGCCTAGACTTCCTTCCTTGAAACATGGGTCCTGAAGGAGACGAATTCGAGGAGAATCTGAGAAAGCCTGTTGGGGAGCTAACACATAAACAGTTAGCAAATGAAATGGGACATCTTTCTCGGCACTTTGACTTCCAGGTATCTCCACAGTCATTTCAGAGGAATTTTTAAAGATTCTGCCTTTTGTTCGGGCCCTCGCAGTGTCAAGTTTAGCCAGGTTTCTCTCTCCCAAGCAGAGCTGGAATCACAGTACCAAGTGGGTTGGTTCACAATGACCCCACGGTTGACAGTGTATACTTTCCCTTCTGTGATCTCACTTAATCCTTACTGCAACCCTGTGAGGTGGCAGGTGGGGACTGCCACCCACCCTGTGGAGATGAGGCACCTAAGCTTCTGGACGTGGCCATGAACCTGGAAGCGTCTCCTGGTGTGGTCCTTATGTCCTTGTCCCCCTGTCAATTCTAACTCATTTTTGATAAACAAGCTGCTCTTGGTGACCAAATGCACCTGGGGAAGACGGGCTTACTTAGCGCTGGTGAAAGCATCCTGAGGACAGGCAAGGTGGGAAGGCGAAAGGGCCTACAATAAAGCGAGCACCTGAGAAAGTTCCATGCACGAGGGAATGCAATTAGAACTGAAATGATTCTCTGGAGAAATCTTTGAAAGCTTCGACCAGTCTGAGTCCTAACCGCAGTAAAAATCCATGGGCACGCTTATATTTAACACTTTAACACAAGTTAACAACACCTTGTTGAACAAATCTTACGTGGGAGGGAAGGCAGTGGTAAGAGGGAAGGGCAGAAGCTGGGGTCTGTGTGGAGCCTGGAAGCCAGGCTGCCAACAGTCATTGCAGCACGCAGTGCCTGGGGAGTCCCGTGGGCTTCCAGCTAACGGCCATGCTGACCATTGGGAATGAGGTGCCTCTCAGCCCCGAGGCCATTCTTTAAACAGTCCATTTCTTTGCTTTTGGTAACCTCTTCCTCTTCCTCCTCCTCTTCCTCTTCGTCTTCATCATCGCTCCTTACATCCTGGATGTTCTAGACAAAGGAAAGAATTGGCTGTGAGTGACAATCTTCCAGGAAGAGTCTTGAGTAAATCTGCAAACAGGCGGGTCCAGCTTCAAGTATGGCTCCCTTTAAGGAAAACCCAATATCGAAATAACCAAACATCACCAAGATTGACTATATCAAGGAATCATAAAGCAAACCTTAACAAACCTAAATAACTGACATCATACAAAGCATATTTCTAAGCCATAATGGAATTAAGATAGAAATCAACATCAAAAAGGTAATAGGAAAATTTCAAAACACTTCGAAATTAAATAAGACTCTTCTAAACAGTCACTGTGTCAGAGTAAGATTCAAAGAATATTAGAAAATATTTTGAACTAAATAAAGAAGGAAATATATCAAATTTGTTCAATGCAGCTAAAATAATGCTTAAAAGGAAATATGTAGCATTAAATGTTTATATTCAGTGAGAAAAATGGTCTCAAACGATGAGATTCAACTTTAAGAATCTAGAAAAAAGAGGAGCCAAAAAAACCCAAGACAAACAAAAGGAAGGAAATAATAAAGACAAAATAATCAATGAAACTGAAAACAGAAAAAAAAATAGGGAAAACCAATAAACCCAAAACCAGTTATTTGAAAAGATCTATAGCATTAATAACTCACTAGCAAGACTGATAAAGAAAATAGAGGGAAAGCACAAATTAGCAATAAAGAAAAAGACATAACTATAGATACTGCAGGTAATATAATAATAAAAACAGAATGTGATAATTCTATGCATACACATTTGACAACTTAGATAAAATGGACCAATTTCTTAAAAACTATAAACTACTAAAACTTGCCTGAGTTGAAATAGGTAACCTGGATAGCCATATGACTATGAAGGAAATTGAATTTGTAATCAAAAACCTTCTGAAAAATAACAGCACTAGGTCCAAATGTTTACATTGGTAAATTCTATGAAACACACTGAGGAGAAATAACACAAAATATCCACAATCACATCCAGAAAATAGAAGAGAAGGAAACATGCATCATTTCATTTTACAAGGCCAGAATTACCCTTTGTAAGGTTTTTGTAGACGTGATTAAGATCCTTGAGATGAGAATAATATCCTAGATTATGTAGGTGGGCCCTCTATGGCATCACAAGTGAGTCCTTATAAAAACAGAGGCAGACGAAGAGTCCACACACAGAGGAGAGGCAATATGAAGACAGAGAAGAGATTGGAATGACGCAGTCACAAGCCAAGAAATGCTGGCAGCCCCGAGAAGCTAGAACCAGCAAAGAACAAATGTTCCCCTAGTGCCTCTGGAGAGAACACGACCCTACTAACAGACACCTTGATTTTGGCTCAAAACTAATTATGGATTTCTGACCTCTTGATCTGTGAGAGAATACATTTCTGTTATTTTGAGCAACAAATTTGTAGAAATTTGTTGCAGTCATTATAGAAATTAATTCAACTAGCAGTGGCCAATTAAAAACTGTAATTTAAAAATCTATGCCATTTATAATAGTTTCAAAAATAAAACACTTAGGAATATATCTAATAAACTATGTATAGGATCTGTATCTAAAACCTACAAAATTCAGAAAGAAATCTGAAATTCTTTGAAAGAAATCAAAGAAGACCTAACTAGTTGGGAAGACATACTATGTTCATGAATTGGAAGACTAAACATAGTAAAAATATTAATTATCCCCAAATTATCCTATAGAACCCACACAATACCAATCAAAGTCCCAGGAGAATTTTCTGTAGATACAGACAATGTAATTCTAAAATTTATATGGAGAGGCAAAGGAACTCAAATAGCTAAAAGAATTCTGAAAAAAAAAAAAAAAAAAGTGAGGACTTACACTACCAAATTTTAAGACTTACTATAAAGTTACAGTAATCCAGACAGTGTGGTATTCACAAAGGAATAAACATGCAGATCAGTGGAACAGAATATAGACTAGCTAAGGTATGCTAGAAAACTTAGGTTTTTCTAAACAGCTGAAATTTAAAATGCTTAAGAAAAGATGCAGCCCACCACCCGTATTCTGAGAAAAACCATTTCACAACTGCAGATTTTCTCCAGTAATTAAAACACTTCATAGAAATTAGAAACAAAACCAAGTATGCTCTAGGGAGAACAAGGGATCTACATACTCACTAGAGGTCAAGCCATGGTGTTTTCTGGACCCCTACCTGTCTGCTTTGACTGAGTGTCAAGACTTTGCTTGCAAAACCAGTGTGAGTCCGTTTCTTGAATCTACTGGCCTCTTCCTGTGTTGCCCTTCCCACTTGTTGCTCTCTACACACTGACACCCTGGAGGTTTTGTTACTGGGCTATTGGAACGTTTCTTAGGCAAATTGTTGGCCCTGACTCCTCTACAAATCATTAAAGGGTCAAGAAAACACATGCTTAGAGAAGGATCCAAAACTCTCTCTGAAGAGTAGAGGGGTGGACCTGGGATTCAGCAGCCACAGAACTGCAGTGATTTTGTGTGCAGTTCTCATCCTGGCCAGAGCATGCTGTGGCACACATGCCTGTCACCTGAGAGACTGACTCCCCTTGGGAAGGTTTGACTATAGCAGCTGCCATTACAGATCATATTACTATTCTGATAACTTTCAATAACTTTATTTGTTGACCTAGCAAAGCAATGTAGTATTCCACTGAACTTTCTCCAAAAATGACCGAGGTGGTCTAGAATAAGTTATTAGCAATATTATTCATCCCATTTGGAAGTGGATGGTCATGATTTTTGCAAGGTCTTTTAGAAGTTTCTGCTCCCAACAACTCCCTTTGGTTACACAAAACAACACTGGAAACAATGAGAGACAAGTTTCTAGCTTAATAGAGACCTTGTTACTTGTCCTAACAGGGGCGTTGAAGTTCTCACATTACTCAGTAGGACCAGTATTGGCAAATATGATCAGCTTGGCACTCAAGCAGGCACAGGAGACCTGTATTCAGTGAGTGTGGTTGAAATCATAGTTGCCACAAAGGGAGACCCTCATTCAGTTTGAGAACATACAATACACTAGGAGAAACTGATTAATGCTGAAATTAGGATCAAAATGACCTTCCCCTGATTAAAGCTGGATCAAAGTCAACGTTTTCCTTTGCAGGCTGTGTTCTAGGAGCAGGGGCATAGAGCCTCACATTCAAAGACTCACTCGATCAGAGCACTCAAGTATCCCTAAAGCAATAGACACACTTCCAACTTGTTTATCCTTTTGAGGGGCTCACAAAACTGATTGAACCTGTCATATCACATGGTGATTAATTTTGGCTGTTACCAAATGTTTTAGACACTGAACACCATGACCAAGACGACAGCCCTGACTTCCCATAGTCTAGAAGTGCCAAAGCATTGTCCAAAGTCCTTTCTAAATTTTTGTGGCAAAATGCACGTAAGATTTACTATCTTAATCATCGTTTAAGTCTGTTCAGTGGGATTAAATACATTCATAATACTGTGTAATAATCACCACCATCCATTCCCAGAACTCTTTTTTATCTTGTTAAACAGAAACTCTGTACCCATTAACAATCACTCCCCAACTTTTCTCTTTTCCCCAGCCTCTGGCAACCCCCATTCCACTTTCAGTCTCTATTACTTTGTCAATTCTAAGTACCTCATACAGGTGGAATCATACAGTATATGTCCTTTTGTAATTGGCTTATTTCCCTTTGCACAGTGTTCTCAAGGTTCATTCATGTTGTAATACGTGTCCAAATTTCCTTCCTTTTTTTTTTGAGATGGAGTTTCACTCTCGTTGTCCAGGCTGGAGTGCAATGGCTTGCAACCTCTGCCTTCCAGGTTCAAGCAATTTTCCCACCTCAGCTTCCCAAGTAACTGGGATTACAGCCGCCCACAGCCATGCCTGGCTAATTCTTGTGTTTTCAGTAGAGACAGGGTTTCACCATGTTGGCCAGGCTGGTCTTGAACTCCTGACCTCAGGTGATCCATCCACCTCGGCCTCCCAAAGTGCTGGGATTACAGGCATGAGCCATGGTGCCCAACCAAATTTCGTTCCTTTTAAAGGCTGAATAACATTCCATAGTATGCATATATCACATATTGTTTATCCAATCATCTCTCAGTGGTCACTGAATTGCTTCTATGTTTTAGCTATTATGAATAATGTTTCTACGAAAGTGGATGTGCATAAATCTCTGTGTCTCTGCTTTCAATTCTTTTAGATATATATCCAGAAGTGGAATTGCTGAATCATATGGCTAAGGCTGTTTAATTTTTTTGTGGAACCACCATACTGTTTTCCACAGTGACTGTATCATTCAACAGTTCAATCAACACTTGTTATTTTCTGTTTATATATTTTTTAATTGTAGTCCTCCTAATGGCTGTGAGTGGTATCTAATTACAGTTTTGATTTGCGTTTCCCTAATTATTAGTTATGCTGACTATCTTTTTATGTTCTTATTGGCCATTCATTTGTCTTCTTCAGAGAAATGTCTATCCAAGTTCTTTGCCCATTTTTGAACCACGTCACTTGGAGTTTTGTTGTTGAGTTTTAGGAGTTCTCAATACATTGTTTATGAATCCCTTATCGGATAAATAATTTGCAAATATTTTCTCTCATTTGTGGGTTACCTTTTAACTCAGCTGATGTTGTCTTTTGATGGTCCAAAGTTTTAAATTTTATGAGGTCAAATTTGCCCATTTTTTCTTTTGTTATCTGTACCTTTAGTGTTATATCCAAGAAATTATTTGCCCTATGTTTTCTTCCACAGTTTTAGGTCTTACATTTAGGTCTTTGCTTCAATTCAAGTTAATTCTTGTGTATGATGTTATGTCAAGGGTCCAACTTCATTCTTTTGCATGTGGATATTCAGTTTTCCCAGCACCATTTGTCGAAAAGACTCCCCACTGAATGGTCTTGGCACCCTTATATATGGGAGGGTTTACTTCTCTATTCTATACCATGGTATTTAGGTTTGTCTTTATGCCAGTACCAGATTGTCTTGATCACTGCAGATTTGTAGTAAGTTTGGAA